TTGTCAGCTGGGACCATAAAAAGGGTTTGTTTAGGGTTTTTTTTTTGTCAGCATCTCCCTTTGCTTCCATTTTGAGTGGAGGGGAGTTTTTGCTTTCCTATAAACCTGTCATCTGACCTGCTTTTGCATTAAAAGTCACCATCAAACTGTTGAGAACAACCTATGAAACATAATGAATGGAGATGAGCTAGAAGAAAGTGGTAAGAAACAGGTATATTCCTTAGAGGTGTCGAGGAAAATTGAACAGGACCTACTAAGGCATGAGGAAGGCTATGATTTTATTTACTGTTTCAAGTTGCTTGAATTTCTAAGAAACCATCCTTTTTTATATTTTTATTAATATATGTAAAGCAGTGCATAACTGTTTATTTTTTTCTGACCTTAAATGTATATGTTTATATTCAAAAAGTATCTGATTTGTAGTATAAAACCTTTCACGGTAACACTAATAAATAATTAATAATCAATCAATTAAAAGTAGCATTGCTTTTTCACTTTCTGCTATAAAGTTCCCAAAACAAGTCTGAAAGTAGAACCTATACCTATAGGGTACACCCAGATATATCTGAAAGATCTTGATCTATGTTGATACTAATTTTCAGCAGCAGACAGCAATTACTGAAGAATTCTGGTCAGCAATCATAGCCTTATTTACTTTTACTGCAAGATAAAAAGGCTACTTAAGAAATGCTGGATTCTGGCCACCTCCCTATTATTCCCATCCAACTGAAAAGAGAGTGGTTCGAGGGAGGCTTCTGGCCAGGAGCCATGATAGCCCAATGCTTTTCCAAACGGGAAGAAGATATAAATGGCCGAGACACAAGACTGCATGTTCCCACTCACTTGCAGACCATGTGTAACTGAATTTTCTTACTGGTATAATTAAGTAGGTCTAATTGAGACATGCTGAGCACGAGCTCAGTACTGGCTTCGCCAAAGCATGGACCTTTAGTGTCTGCAAATGAGGGCAGCTCTTCACTTGGGTTTGCACTGCTTTCTCCCTGTTGCATCCAAAAATGCCTGCAAGCGCCAATTGTCAGGAGGCAGGAAAACTTTAAGCACCTCTTAAGAACTGATGAACACACTGGTGATTAAGGGAAGAAGTAGGAAAAGGAAGTGAGGTAGGATGCTCTTTGGGAAGAGATCTACCATTTTGTTAACTTTGTTTGGCACTTAGTACAAATGGGATCTTTGCCTAGGCTACATGGGCAAGTGCTGTGGAAGACTAATTGAAAAAGAGGAAATGTGTGTACATTTATGGTTTTATTAATTGTAAAAATCTATTTACTTATTTTTTTCTCCAACCTGAGCAATGTAAATAATTTAAACCCAGCAAGTGTGACAGTGGGGAAATAATTGTTTCAGAAAGGTTCCGAATGTGTCCTTATAAAAGTAATCTAGTTTCTTGCTTGAAATAAAGCAACAAGAAAATGATTGGAAAGTTGCCACCTTCAGAGATGCAGCACAGAGCAGAAGTGAAGAAATTTATGATGATGTCTCTAATAAGGAGACAGTTGTCTCCTGAAAGGAGAGAAAAACCATGCAGAAGCTATTTTTGGGTGCCTTTTGGTGAACACTTCCCCTTCAGGCTTGCTGTTCTTTTAATAGAGATTACTTTTTTTGTATTTATGCTGGTGCTTTGCACTATTTTGGAAGTGGGAAGGTATGTCTGAAATGTTACCGGTCTCTTTATTAAAAATTCTGAAGATAAAACTGTTTCAGTGAACGGCTCAATTATGCATTAGGAAAAAAAGAGCATGTCATATACATTGAACCTTTTGAGCAATTTAAACTGAGATCTGTCTGCCAGGTTCATGAATGTCAGTCTGTGCTATTGAAACTGAGGGAGACAGACTGAATTGACTTTTAATGCAGCCCCCTATTTGAATCCAGAGGATCCTGCAACCAGAATGATCTGTAAGCAATTTTTGGGCTATAAGGAGAATGAAAATAGGTCAAACTTCCAGTATGTCTTTCAGCAACTGGTTCACTTCAACTACTTGATATTTGAGCTATAGGGTTTTCTGGGTTTTGTATTTATTAACAGCAAAAAGGAAGTCCTTGTAAAAGAGCTCAAACCAAATTAGTATTAGGGGAAATGTTCCCTTAATTCCCTTCCAATAAATGACTGTGGACAAAGTAGGAAGCTGAAGGTTGTGAAGAGTATGGCAAGAGAGGAGGAGAGGGAGTGTGTAGACAGTCTTCAACCCCAGCAGTAATCAGCCTTTTGCTTTATCAAGGTTGTCCTGACCATGAATTTCAGCTATGAATCCATTTGTCTTTTCTCTTGACCATGTAACTTTTCATAGTTAATTTTCTGGAATTTATGTGGATTCCCTTCCTTTTGGAGGAATGTCACTTAGTTGATTACATGAGATACAGCAGAGAAACAAACCCATGTAATCTGAATAAAATTTAGTTCTTATGTTGCAGTAGAACAGCCTATAACTTTCATAAGCAATTACAAAAAGCTTTATGAACTACATTGCAGTTTTTTTCAGATACTTAGAATTCTAACCACCACCATAAAGCATACACATTCTTTGGATATAAAGTTTGGATTAAGGAGTGTTTGATTGCTCCTATTAAACCATAAAAAAAATATTAGATCCATTTGAGCAACTAGCCTGAAGTTCTTTTTTATTGCTATTTGTGAATTGGAACAAAGCTTGTTTTTCTGTATCTCTGCAAAGGCATCCTGACAGCGTATGCTGCTTTCAGGGTGGTGTACCATTCACTGATCCTGGCTGGAGGCAGTTGAAGCGGGGATGTGGATAATGTAGTGCAGATGCTTTTCTGTTTCTTTTATCTATTTTTTTCTGCCTTCTGCATTTGCTTCAGTGTTATGGCTGTTGTCAGTCTGAGAGTGGATGGCTTATGGGTGCAACTGAATTCTTAGTTATTACTTTAAGTTGTCACAGATAAAAGTATGTTTCTACAAGACTGTTTTATTGTACTCCTGATCAAACTGCTCTGGTGTTAATTTTGATGGATGATGATCCAAATGATTACAGGGCAGGCTGTTAATTCCCTTTTGATTTAGATGAGGAATGAAATTATCTCCAATTCTGCCTGGCAGTCCAATATTTTGACAGTATGTTTATGTTGCAGTCTTACCTCTCCTCCAGCTGCTCACACATAAAACGATCCAAGTGTTGCCCTGAGCAGGCAGATGTACCTGTACTGGTGACAGTTTGGGCTGAGGTGGTTGAATAGAGAATTCACATCTCTCCTGAGAAATGGGAGCTGCCTGGGGCAGGAGGGACCTGCTGAGTGCAGGAAAGGAAGCGTTGCCGAGGCAATTCACCCTGAAGTTGGGCTCTCCCAGGTGAATTATTCTGAAGAGTTTAAGCTCAGTTGTGCTGCCAATCAATCCCTCTTTTTAGTCATGCAAAACCATTTACTGCTGATTGGAGTTTGTATTAAGTTAAAAAGTGCTTCTGCTTTGACAGGCTGGGAGCAGCTTTGTGGTCTCCACCTGTGCTGGGTCAAAGCTGGAATCCTCTTTATTTTGTGAGAACAGATAACTTAGGCAGAGGTCTGAAAAGCAATCCAGGTGCTCGCAGCTTCGTGCATCTTTACAAATGGAACCAAGTGCTATTCGCAGGGGACCTTGAGCAACCCTTTTAATTAGGTGATAAGTCGCACCTCTCCCATCCCATTGTCTGCCGGGTGGTGGCACAGGTGCTACAGATGATGGAGCTGAAGCCTACTTATTTTCTGAGGGCCATGTTTTTCTTTTTGGGTGAGTACAATACGAAGCTGTGAGCTGGCCTGTGGCATGTTCTGCATTCACAATCCCAAATTCATACCACTGTCTCTTCAGGAAAATGCCTGGAATAGCTGCTGTATCACCTGTTTAAAAAGAGAGTGAAGCAGCATTTTAAGCTTAGCAAAACCTTCAAATCACTGGCTAGGCCTCAGTTTCTGAAATAAATTCCCAGAACTTCTATAGTAATTCTTTCAGAAATTACTAAAAGCATTTGTGGGATTATTTGGAGCTCAGAAAGCAGTAAGTGTCAGGCTTTTAACAGAGATGTGAAAACCAGGGATAGTTCTGGCCTATCTGCAATAATCATGTTAGTGTTTTGCTGCTAGAAAGCTTTCTCACCCTGAGCTGTGTTTTTTTTTTCCCTTTGTAAATTATACATTAATAGTACTTTAAAAGTCTTCTCTGGTTTAAAAAAAGAAAAAAGTTTTAATAGAGGACAGAACCAGTTTTGGTATTTTTGGTGGTGGTGTTTACTTTTTTGTTTTTTGAGAAAGTGAGTTTCTCCCCACTGAACTTCAGAAATCCAAGGGAAATAAGAGTTTCTGAGGTACAGAAGATACAGTGAACTTTTGTATAGTCTATTTTTTGAGTATGCTGCCTTCGGTAACATCACTCTTATATTTTTGTTTGAAGTTACCTGAATGCACATTGAAAGCTATTGATTTTTTTTTTTAACACTATTTAAAGTGCAAATAAAATTCAAGTCAGTGCAAAATACTTCAGGGGTGGACTGAGGGGTGAACAATGCAATGACATGATGCATTCTCTATAATTTCTAGTAAAAGCTGAGAGCATCTTTCAGAACACCCAACAGCTGGCTGCTTTGACCTCTCCTGAGCACTTGCCTGTTTTCTTAGCGAATGGATAAAAGACTGAAAATGTTAATTAATAACATTATGCCCTTCTATAGACTCACCCGTTACAGCTGCATCTTGTCTGCCACAGGTGCTCCGGTTTTGCAGTATCAGAGAGCAAGCAAAAGAGCACCTTCACTATCTGCCCTCCAGAGCTGCCCGTCGGGGCTGCATCTGCTCTCGCCCTTCAAGCGAGGCCGCCTGAGGGTGCCCAAGGAGCCGCCGGACAGGTTGCCCCCGCACACGCGGGGGGAGGGCGAGATGGGCCTGGCCCGCCTCCCGGGGAGGAGCGGGGCGGACGCGGGGCGGACGCGGGGCGGGCGAGGCCGGCCGAGGCGGCGGCGGCGGCGGCAGGGAGCAGCAGGGGCCGCCGCGGCCGCAGGGATGGAGCCGTGGAAGCAGTGCGGACAGTGGCTGATCAGCTGCAAGGTGCTGCCGCCCAACCACCGGGTCACCTGGGATACGGCCCAGGTCTTCGACCTGGCGCAGGCGCTGCGCGACGGCGTCCTGCTCTGCCAGCTCCTCAATAACCTGCGCAGCCACTCCATCAACCTCAAGGAGATCAACCTGCGCCCGCAGATGTCCCAGGTGCGACCGCGGGTCTCCGCGTGCTTTGTCTTGCGGCTTCTGCCGGCTCGGGGGGAACCGCGGGGCAGGGGAGGTCGGACGCGCCTGCGGCTGCAGCCCGGAGCCTCTGCGTCCGGCGCAGCTCCTGCCGCTGAGGCGAGTCTAATCTGGGGCTCCTTTTTTCTTCCTCTCCCTTCCCTGCGCGGTGCAGTGCGCCCTGCCCGCCGGCTCGGCGCGTCCCGGGTGGTGGGACAGTGTGCGACCCACGCTCCGGGCCGGCGGCTCCCCCAAAATCCCCCGTAAGGGACTGTTTCCTGCAGCGGGGGCGGTTTTTGGGGGAGCCCTCCCGTTCCCCCCCCCACCAGTCGGAAACCACGCGGGCAGGTCCCATCGGGGTGGCTGCGCTGGGAAGTTCCTGCGGTAGTCCTGGCGTCAGCCATATAACGTGCCTATGTATGTTAATCAATATGAACACCTTATAATAGAAAGTGATCTCTTGCTTCTAGCTGTTCTGGATATACCTGGGAGCTTGGGAAGGGAGGACACGGGAGCGGGGGAGCGGGGCGGTGGTGCTGGCGCCGGAGGGTGGGTGGCGTGGCCGGGGCAGAGGGGCCTGCCCTGACCGCGCTGCGGGGACCTGGGCGGGAGAAGGGGAGGCAGCGCTCACCAGAGACCTCTGCATCTTTTTGGTACCTGTGAAGTTGACCGTTAACGAGTGATCATTGATGAGAAATCGTGTTCTTGACAGCTGGTTGCCTGTGTTAGAGTGACATTTCTTTTTTCTGAAGACCCTTTGATATGTAGCTTTGTAAATTAGTATTTTGGTTAAATCATAAAGCCATGTTTTCCAAACTCATCCCCTTTTAAGTGCATTTTTTTTTTTAGTGGGGACTGATGTTTTGCTACTGTGCCTTATAAAGGTAGTTATAGATATTGAGATAAGATTATATTAATTCAATGAGAAGAGGTTCTCTAGATACCCGACTTCCTGTCATTGCTTCACATGCACCTATGCCTCCGCAGAGACAGTAGCACCCAAGCAGATGCCGTCTGAAAGGAAGCTTAACTTCCGAGTCTTTTGTGTGTTTGAAATCATTGAGAAATGGACGCATTGTGACACATCAGTGTTATGATTCTGTTTTAGATCTGGAGGAATAAAAACTGCTGTTCTTGTTTAGGACATTGGCAAAAAGCAATGGTAGTGAATTACACTTTTGGGAGGAACATTCTTTGTGCACATTTACTCACAAAGCCGGTTATTTTCTATGGTTTTAATTCCTTTTTTTAGCAGCTATGTTTTACTACCAAGAGGATGTTTTCCATAAGCCCACAGTGCAAAAAGGGAAAAACCTATTGGGTGTATTTCAGCTGGTCAGAATACAAACTCCCAGACCTTAGATGAGCTGGGTGTGAATGGTGAATGGTATAAAGGCTGTTTCCATGTACTTGAGAACTCAAATGCCTGCTTGAACTGCATACGCAGAGGCAATGCTTTATCTGAGCAATGGAGAGACACAGAGGGTGGACTCCTCCAAATGGAATCGATCCAGACAAGTTCTCTTGTTGCACTGTACAAACTCTGTGAGAGTTTCAGGACTTGCTAATCTGTACCAGAGCCCTGGTTGGTTCATTCCAGTTAGATTGGCTGCTTCCAAGCTGACCCTTTTTCACCTTAGCTTGCAGAATGATAAATATTTTGCATGTGAACTGTTGGAAGTGGTTTCTTGCCTTGCTTAGAAGGGATAAAGAGTATGGAAGCAAATTCTCTCATGATATTACACTACTTTCTGGGTAGCTAACTCACTGAATCAACTTCAGTTAAAGATGAGTGATGTTGCTTGCTTGGACCAATATTACTTTTATTTTTGATGAATTGAAACCATAGTGGTCTCCTCCTGTTTCCTAAAAATAAGTATCAAAATGCACTGCTGTCTTCTTTCTTAGAACAGGATTAGGAATTTAGGTGAATATTTATTTCTCCAAGGGCATTTGAGCTATGGATTATAATGGTACATTTTGGATGATTTATAATGAATATTTTGAACTTGAGCTTTTTATACGTATAATGTAGCTACTGGAATTGTTTCACAGCTGTGATAGTTGCCTCCTTGTCTGTGTGTCTGCATTGTGAGTGAGGAACCTGCACCCCATGGTGCTGCAGCTCACTCTCTCCAATAGTACATTTCTGCCTTACAGCGATTTCACCTTTGAATTAGGGGGAACTTTTGGTGGATCAAAACTGGTGATAGATAACTCTATGCAGCTTTACAAGGAATGTTAGGTTTGCTTTCTATGCGATCAAGATTTGGCTATCTTAGTGAGGCTCTGTAGGGTTTACTGAAAAGCTTCCTGGTCTCCCTGATGGTGTTTTCCACTGCAAAACCTTAGAATGGCTTGGAGGATTCTTATCACACACAATTTTTGAGCAATAAACACAGAGAATGAGAAGGATGGATGAGGGCTTCATGAATGGGTCTTGTATGATTTTAGCCTTGTCTCTTACTGCTGTTGACATTTGTCAGGCTTTTGTCTGAGAACCAAGTTTTAGTGTCTTGGGGACTAGTTATAAATGCAGCAGTGCCAAAGAACAGGAGTATGAGACATGATGCCTCAGGCAGACCTGGAAATAGATGTCAGGCCTCTGACAGAAAAGATTCAAGTCTCTTCCATTTCATTGCATACTTTTTTCAGAATCAGTGTGGCAGATCAGATGTTAGTGATGTTCATCAGCTTTTCTCAGTAGACCTTGGTGTAGCCCCTTATAAGCTGCATCAGAAGTGTAGAGGGACTATGACTGGTGCTACTGCTTCAGACGCTGCTTTTTGGTGGAACCTCATTCAGTTGAATTGGGAGCACTGTTGCTTTGCTTTTAAGCACCCAACTGCTGGCTTGTGGGGCAGGAATAGAAATTGAGACTGGTGATGCTCAGCATTGCAACACAAACACGTGCTTTACCAAATGGCAGCGGATATGTTCTCTTTTATGGGCTGGCTAGCATGGGGAACTGAATGCCTTTGTCCCACCACCAGCCATGCACCTTGTGTCACAGCTGTTGTCGTGGGTAGGCTGTTTCACGCATTTGAAACCTGTGGATTTGGCCTCCCTACATCTTTGGAGTTAACAATGGCTGTGTAAGAGAAATGCCTCTGTGGTTTTAGATTACAAAACCTTGGCTTTAGAGATTTATTTGAATGCTAGCTGGTTTTGTCTGTGTTTCTTACTTTTATGAAAATATTTATATTTGGTTAGTGGAAGTTGTCCTTTGAAGAACAGAAGCTGATTCAGTCAGTTACACTTTCCAGAAAGTACGCCTTGGATGTGAAGGTATAAACCTTGCGTATATAAAGAACAAGCAGTGTTCTTGCTTTGCCAATGAGTGTTCCACCTCTGGGTTGCCAGCTGAATGCTTCCTAGCTCCTGTCCAAGAAGCTTGTGTGTCTCAGTGCGAAGTCCCATGTGAAAAATGACACATGGGCTTTGTATGAGATTGGAAACTTTTGGCTTCAGGGACGTTTATGTCTAAGCTTTTCTTCTCAGTGACTGATCAGAACACCAGACTCTTGGCTTTATTAAGAGGTCTTGTATCAAGGCCACAAATCGCTTTGCTGTTTGAAATCCCTTGAGCTAGCAACTTCTCTTGTTGTTTTGAAGCAGCACATGTGCCATCAGAAAAGAAAATTTGGATGAAGGCTAAACTCTAATGTCTTTTGGCTCTTTAACTACAGAGGAGTCTGCCTGATTGAGACAGACTTGAGAGCTGGTGTTGTGAAAGCTGTCTTACGGCAGCCACCATGTGAAAAAATATTAAACTTTGCAGCAACTGGGAATGTTGCTGGAAGATGGAGTGTGCTAAGTGAATCACAGAGATGTGACTGACATGCTAGTGTGTTGCCGGGTTTCCCCTGAAGTGTGGCGTCAGTGCCTGGTGACAGAGATGGATGATGGAGTATTGCAGTTCAGCATCTAAGTCTTCCCTAGGAGCTCTTCACTGTGGCAATTCGTTTATCTGAGATGCTGCCTCTTGGCTGATGTAGGCTGGTGAAAATAATACAAATAAAAGTGACCCATAACAGACACTACTAATCCTAGTGTTTAATCATAATCATACAAGAACTTTAATAATTTATCACCAGAAATATAAAATTTAAACCAACAGATTATGATAGATTTGCAGATGATGTCATCTGTTTAATGCTTATCTTTCATCTTTAATACTTTGCAAACTAGTTTTGAAATGTTTTTTGCAAGGCATTTAGTTAACTTATGACAGATTGCTAAACAGAAGTACATTTAATACAATACTGGCATGGGAGTTTACTGAAAGGGATGTTGACATAGATTAAATATTAAAAATAACTATTTCCTATTATTCTAATAAAAATAAATATCTCTCATTTTGTATTAAAAGTCCAAATGTGTTCTAATTTTAGGGAGTTACTTTTTTCGGTGGTGACCAAGTAGTCCAAAGGAAGTTCATTATCTTTGTCATCCATGTTATATCTTGCTGTGGCAACTGAGCTTTTGAGCAGGACTTTATTTTTCTTGTTTACAGTGGTATTGGGTAGCCTCAGGATGTGGGTGTATAGAGTGACATACCTCTGATTTTGCTTTGATCCTGCCTTTGACTTGGAGCTTCCACACTCTCACAGTTGATAACCATGATCTCCTGCCCCTAAATCAGTGAGTGTGCATCCCAACTCTGCAAGTTTCCTTCAGGCGGATACACTCGCTATGCTTTCCCCCATGCCTGCCTCCCTACAGCCACGCTGCTTGATTTTGCCTCTTTTTTTCTTCCCTTCCAAATTTTAGCCTAGGAGAGCATGCCAAATGCCAGGGAATCCAACTTTGTGCGCCACGTAGCTCTCCAAATGTGGAAATGGGAATTGGCTTTTGACTCTGCACGTTATCTAAAAGAGAAAAAGCAAGATGTGAGTGGATGTGCTGACCTCTGTGCATGAGAATGTGCTTTGGGCCTGGCACCAGGTGAGCTGAATGAGAAAATAAAAGGGATTTGGAGTGGT